TGCCTTTACCCCTTATCACACTTTTCACACTCAAAGACTTATCCAAAATAGGATCGATTAGGAAGGAAGCAGGGACTGCAGACAAGGATAAGTACATTGATCACCTCTTGCCCTCTATGGTTATTCTCCATCCAGTAGCCCCTGTGACCTTTTAAAAACAAAAGCAGTTCATGTTAGTCTCAAGCTTAACAGTTGTCAGAAGCTTCTCCTGCAATCAGAATAAACTGTATACTTCTTTTACACCACAACCTACAAGCCCCTGCTTATTCTGGCTCTTCTCTGATCCACCTCCACTCTCTCCTGGCTCTCTGAGTTCTAGCCACCCTGGCCATCTGCCTCTTCCTCTAACACATCGAGGGCCTTTGTATTTGCTGCCTGGATCCCTGACATTTAGTTGGCAAAACGTCATCTCCTTAAAGAAGCATTTCCTGACCACTGGATGGGAAACATCACCCCCCCACACCCCGCCCATTTATTTCCATGTTACACTTCTTAGCTAAGCTACAGTATTTGTTTGCTTAAAGTATTAGCTGACAGCTTCACTCCCAGCCCACTTCCCTTTTCGCTGATAGTAGAAGCTAGGGCGGCAGCCCTGCCCTGTGGTGCTCCTCACGGTGGCCGCAGCCCCAGGACCCTGTCTGGCACTTACAAAGCACTGGGTGAATAAATGGGGGCTGGGGAGCAGATTACAGTCATTTTTCACTTTTTGCTTTTATATTTCAGGTGAATTTGAATTTTTAAATAAAGTACATGTACTACTTCAGCAATAAGAAAAAAACAATGCCAAAACAAAATAAAATTAGCATATTTAATCAAATAGATGAAAGTAACACAAAACCTCTCCTAAGAATCTACACTATAGATTGCCATAAATTCATATCCACACTGTTTATTAAACCTGAAACATTAGCCGATTTAATGATCTGCTTGTGAATTAGTACACAACCCTGGACTTTTAAATAGTCATATCTCCTGGTCTCATAGTAAGATTGCTGTTTGAGCTTTCCACTTTATTCCAGTCTCCTACTCACAGCACATTTATGTCTACCTTTCTGCTTTTGCCAATGCTGAGGCCTCTCATACAATGTCCCCTCCCATTTCCCCATCCAAAATCTTGATCATCCTTTAAGGCACATTCAAGTCTATCAAGAAATAACCACAACCAATGACCTGTACTTTTAAAAAGCTCTGTGTTTTGTCAAAAGGTACCTCGTCTTTGTGTAGCACTCAATTAATTACAGTTGGTTGAAAGCAATATTTTTATATCTTTAACCACACTGAAAGGTCACTATACATTTTCCAACTGAGTTAAAAAAAAAAATCACCACTAGCAGAGAAATGCGGTCAAAGGCAGAGGGGAGGAATTGCTTATAATCTTTTCTCAAATGAGAAAATACCAGGTGGTTTTCAAGGATTCAAAAGCCATTTCCACACTTCCCCATGGGGGAAGGATGATATATATAATGATTTTTATATACATATATATGATCATTACTTGGATTTTACAAAAAAAAAATGGGTGCAAGGAAAAACTGACTGGCAAGCTTGGAATAATCTCCTCCAATGCTATTGGGCACCATCCACTTATGTCCTATTATGACAGCCATGCAGCATTGATTGAGTGCTTACAGTATATCAGGTACTGAGTAAATTCATTACATACATTATCTCATTCAATCTTCCCAACATCCCAAAGTGGTGGTGGTGGTTGTTGTTGTTATTATTATTATTACTATTCGATTGGAAGAGATCATTGAGAAGACACGACTACCTGTTTTGACCTTTGAGCTGGACAGAGGCTTCTCATGCCCTTCCCTGACCTGGAACTGCACTCTGCCCACCGTTCCCATAGTGGGAGTATTCCAAGGATGTAGCCTTGAAAGAGTAAGGTATTGTTGATACCATCTGGACAATATATGTGACTGAACCCCATTAAGGGCCTCTATGTAAACTTCAAGATTATGGTGGGTGGGTACAAAGATCCACTCCTCTTGTGGCACTGAAGAAAGCCTTGTAGGTAAGTTGTCTGGCTTATTAACTCTGGCACCTACCTATCTGGAATGGTCGGCTTCATCTTCAGCTTCTCCTTGCCCTCTGAATACTGGGGCCAGGAAGCTCACAAGGTTTTGAACCAACATAGTCCCATTTTACAGATAAGGCACAGAGAGATTCAGCAATTTTCCCAGAGTGACAAAGCAACAAAGTGCTAGAGCTGGTTTGGAGCCATCTTGCCTGACTTCAAAACACCCATTCTTTGCTACTGTACTATACATTTCTTCTATTTAAAAACTACAGTTAATATTAAATTAATACAACCTTAACTAAAAATTACTGGTTCTAGAATGTTTCCCCCTTTTCAATTCTTTTTAAGTAACACAAACTCAATGTTCAACATAAAATATTTAAAATTGTGCAAAAGTTAAACAGAGCCTGTCTTCTTTTTAATGGGTCTTTTTCTCTAGCATTTCTTGAATTGCAACGTTGACTTGACAATTGTTATTCCATAGAATTGATGGTACTAATTATCACACTTCATTAATAAATAAATGGAAGTCCCAGATGTTATGGGGTGGATACAAAGATCCCCGGGAGTAGAGAGGCAGTTCCAATTAAGCTTATCAAAAAATGCCAAGCTGTAGACAAGAATTTAGCGACCAAAACATGCTAAAGGTAACAATCCCAGATTTAAAATTCAACAGTGGGACTCTAGGTCAGTGCTTTAAGAAGATTTCAGGTTTGAATAGGCAAAAAGAAAAAAGCAAGGCGATCTGGGGATCCACTCAAAACTAGATCAGAAACGATGGTCTTACATTTGAGTAGAAAGCAAGAGTCAGAGTCTTCCAGGGTTTGGAACGGAGAGGATGAGAAAGCCCTTCTGCCGGGCTTTTAAACAGTTGGCAGCCTAAGACTTATAAGTACAAAAATTTCAGGAGCTCAAATGTTATAAATTGGGTGTTCGCTGCAATTTGTCTATATGTTTGGAAATTTTCCTAATATAATGATGAGAAAATAAAAGGGGGGCTTATTAGGGAGTAATTATGGACACTGTAGTTTTACTCCAGGTTGTTGCTTTATGTAATTCCTTGTAAAGGATAAAAACAGGTTCCTCCTACAGATGCAGTAATACAATAATCAAAGCAGCCAATATGTATTGAGCACTTATCTTGAGCTCTGCATACATTGTCTTATTGAATATACGGGGTAGGTAACTATTATTATCTCCATTTCAGAGAATGGAGGCAGAGTGAGGTTTAGAAATATGTCAAAGTCGTCATATAGCCAGAAAAGGATGGAGCCAGAATTCAAACCCAGGGCTTATTTAAATACAGCTCCTACTCTGCACATTCTCTCAATGCCACTAGGAGCTCCAGAGATCGACAGGGCTGCCACACACTTGGAAAATGACTGAATGTGTTCTGGGACTCTCTCGACAGATTTAGAAAGCTTCCTGAAAACCTGAAAGTCCTAAACCTTCATGTGAAAAACAGAAAGGGACTTTGGGGTCCAACAAACTAGGGTTCAAATCCTGGCTCTGCCACTTAAGTCACATCACCTAGTAAGCCCTGGTTTTTCACCCCGGCAGGTTGTTGTGGGGATTGAATAAGATGGTACATTTGAAGTTCTTACACAGGACCTGGTACATGGCAATCTATCAATAAAAGGCAGCCATCAATAAAAGGCAGCCATTGTGGGTATTATTTTGAGCTTGTAGGAAACAGAGCCCCTCACACCAGCTGTCATGCCAAAGTACCAAATCCAAAGGGTTTTGAAAAGATGAAACAGGAGGAAAGACCAAGATTTTAAAAGGAGACAAAAAGGGAAAGGAGACAGGTTAAGAGCACTATGGGTTCCAGGTGAAAAACTAAGACAGTTGATTGTGATTTCAACTTGAACCCCTGAGAACCAGAATACAGCTGAGCCATTCTAGGAAGGTTTTCTAAATTTGTAATTACAGGCATGAAGAAAGCATACACACACACACACACACACACACACACACACACACACACACAATCTTCTACCAGGTGAAGGAAGGAAAAGAGCATATTCACAATAGTTTGGTCCAACATAGCTCTGTGATTGGTGCTGAGCACTGTGGCCCAGGGCCAAGACAGGAGCTGAGGGTCCTTGGGCCTGACGAGAGGGCCTTTCCCAGCCCAGAAGAAGGCACCGTCTACAGCAAGGAGCGCGAGGGCGGGGACACTGGGAAGCGCCCCAGGTTTGCAGGGAGGGCTAGTGACCCTGGGGTCCCTGCGGCTGCCTCTATACTTTGAGGGCTGGAGTTTCTTTCAACTATTGCGTCCTATTAATTAAAAACAAAAATCCTTGGTTTATTTGGAAATGTTATTGACCCAAAATACCCTAGAGAGAACGAGCAAACACACGGGATCGGTTTCAGAACTACCTTCTAGCATTGTATCCAAACCAAAGACTTTGAGTCAAGGAGGAAAGGAGAGGGTATGCACAGGATTAACCTTCCCCTAACCTTTTCCTTCCCACCAAAAACCCGGGAGAAGGCGGGGAAGAAACACTGGGCATTTCAGGTGTGCCCCAAACCTCGTGCTGGGGGGTAAAAGCACAGCGGAAACCCAGCGGACACTCCCCCCTCTCCAGGGACGTGGGCGCTTTCCAGGATGGTCCGACTGCCCCAGCGTGCTAGCGCATCTTGGGCGGAGAACGGATCCTCCTCTCTAGGCTGCGGGGAAGATCCTACTTTCTAGGATCAGCTCCGAGCTTACGGATCCGGGGCTCCCGAGTCCACCCCAAGCTCTCCGCTGGCTGCCTTGAGATTTCCCAAGCCTCCGGGTGCAGCCCAGCCCAGAGGGACCCCTTTTGTTCCTGGGAGAGCGCGTCGCAGAGCTGCGCATCCCCCTTCAGCGCTGAAAGCCCCGCTGCGGGGGCGCTTCCCTCGGTCCGCTCCCTACGGTCCCCGCGTCCCGCGACCACCGGCTACAGCACACGGATCCCCAACTGTACCCTCCTCCCTCGGAAATACTCACTTCTTCCTAGTCCCTCCGCTTTCCACGCCGTCTCCTCCACCGCTCCATAGCGCCTCAGAGGCTTCTCTGCTTCCAGATGGGTAGATAAAGATTGCTTTAACTCCATCGCTTATCCCCGCGGGCAGGTCGGTGGTTCTCCCCTTACTCCATCCCCGCCGCGGACTGCCGGGAGGGAGGCGGCTCCAGCCAGCAGCGTTTCAAGGGGCCGGGCGCGCGTGACGCGGTTCCATCTCTTCCGCCGCGAGGGCCCGGGAGCGCTGACTGGTACCCAGGAAGCGGGTTGGGGGAGATGCAGGGCGCATGCGCAATGGGGGCTTGGGGGGCTGGGTAGGGAGAAAAGAGGAGATGATAACTCCGAGGAGAACAACAAAAACAACAACTAAAATAGAACAACCCCAAAGGAAGTAAGAGCAAAGCTCCTGTCCTTACTGGAGCCTGTGGCGAGGTTTTGCATGGGGCTGGCACTGCGTGTAGCTTGTGATATGTCAGTGGGCTGCTAGGTTTTGAGCGGAATTAGTGAGCCCGCCTCTATCTGTGGGTGGGCAATGGATCCATCTTTGTGGGGAGTGTGCAGAAGCATGAATGTGGACCTGGATCTGTGAGTTCTGTGCTTGGCTGAGTGTGTGTGTGTGTGTTTGTGGGGGGTTTTTTGTTTGTTTTTTTGATGAGAATCTCTGTCTTTTGCATCCGTGGGTATAATTTGAATATGAAATGGGACAGTCTGTGCGGATGCCTGTGCCAACTCTCTATGTGTTTACATGAACTTGAGAGAAAGATAAAAATATTTGGGACACAAGCATAAAAAGCTGTTTGGAACATAGGTCTTTACTGCCCAGAAACCCAAGGGTTTATATTACAAAGCAGGGCAGCATTAAAAGTACAAAGTAAAATCAGAAGCTTGATTGATAAAAATTAGTAGCTTTTACTGAGTGACAACTAGGCACTAGGCACTTTCCAATAACTCTGTGAAACAGATACTGTTTGGTCAGCCTTGTTTTACAGAGGATGTAAACAGATTAAGTTATTTGCCCAAAATCTCACACTTACCAAGTGTCCTGGTCGGCACTTGAAACCAGACTTAGCCTTTTTATTATGCTGACTCCCTGGACCGAACAGGTACTGCATTTTGAAAGGGGCAGGGGGAGAGCCTATAGAGCATGGGATATTTGTTTGTTGTTGTTTTTAAGATGTGGGGCAACTTTTGGTATCCACATGGCTTGTGGAAGTGTGAAATAGCCCAGCTCTTTAAGAAAATGATTTAGCAACTGGTAGCAAGAGTCTTTAAAAGCTATTGTTAATAATGAACTTCTAAATAGCTCAAGGGTGCATAAAGTTGACAATCTCTTTGATGCAGTTCCAGTTGAAATTTCATTAGGAAATAGAATTTATTTTTAAAATTTGACTTCTAGACTGACTGTAGTCCACTAGAAACAATATAGTGGAAAACAATTTTTATTTGAAAACAACTTATCACTTTGTAATTTTGACCCAACCCTTTCCTGGACTGCTTTTGTTAATAAATATCAAAATGTATAAAATTAAATAAAAATAAACATTGACAAGATGACTCTAAAGTTATGTGAAAGAACAAAAGCTAGGAATAGGCAAGACAATGGTGAAGAAAGTAAACAAGGTACCTTTCCAGATACTAACTTTATTATAAAGCCTAAGACATAGGAAGAAAATTAAGATCCCCAAAATAGACCCACACATATTTGGAAAGTTTATATATGACAGAGGAAGCATTATAAAACAGCACAGAAAGACTAGACTATTCAATAAATGATGATGAAGTATTTGCCTAACCAAATGGAAAACTAAAATAAAAGTTACACCCTTATATTTTTCATCATACACACACACACACACACACAAATTCCAGATAGATTAAAGACCTAAATGACGAAAGCAAAACTTTAAAAATTTTGTAAGATAATATGGAAGAACATCTTTATTATTTTGAAGTAGAAGGGTATGTTAAGTCACGAGCCTTAAAGGAAAATACTAATGTTTGACTGCATTAAATTTTTTATTGCGGTAAAATTCACATAAGATGAACCATTTTAAAGTGAACAATTTCGTGGCACTGTACTTTCACAATGTTGTACAACCACCACCTCTATCTAGCTCCAGAACACTTCACCACCCGGGAAGGAAAAGCCCATTCCCATTACGCAGCTAACCCCCTTCCCCCAGGCCTTCCATCCCCTGGCAACCGCCAATCCTTTCCTTCTCTATGGAGTTACCTATTCCAGATATTTCCCATGAATGGAATCATACGACATGTGACCTTTGTGTCCAGCTTCTTTCACTTAGCATACTGTTTTTTAAAGTTCATCTACACGGTAGCATGGATCATACTTCATTCCTTTTCATGGGTGAATAATATTACATTGTGGGAATACCCCACATTTTGTTTATCCATTCATCCATTGATGGACATTTGGGTTGTTTCTACCTTCTGGTTACTGTGAATAGTGCTGCTATGAACATTTGTATGTAAGTATTGGTTTGAGCATCTGTTCTAAAGGCTGGGTCATATGGCAATTCTGTGTTTAGTGTTTTGAGAACCACCAAACTGTTATCCACAATGGCTGAACCATTTTACATTTCCACCCACCAAGGGATCCATTTCTCCACATCCTCACTAACATTTATCATATTTTGTTTCTATGATTATAGCCACAGCAATAAAAAAGACCAAGAAAATGAATGAATCTTATAGACTTAGTATTAAACAAAAGAAGCCAGATGCAGAAGATTACATACTGAATAATTTCAAAAACAGGTAAACTTTATCTATAGTAAGTCAGAATAATGGTTACTTTTAAGGGGGCACTGAATAGGAAACAACATGAAGAGATGCTTATTGAAATGTTAGAAATATATGACCTGACTAGTGATATGTTGGGATATGTGTATATAAATATATTATATGTATATGTATCTATACAGAGAGATAGGAATAGATATAAGTATTCTTTGAGATCGTCACTTAAGATGTATGCCCTTTACTGTATAGAAGTTATATCTCAATATAAAATATTAATTACAGAAAAAGGTGTAACTCTTAAAACAAAAGATGGTTGGTAGGTTCAGGGATCTTTGTCGTTACTCTACCTTTCTGCATGTTGAAATATTGTATGATTGTTTTAAAGGAAGAAAAGAAAAAATAGGCAAATCTATTGGATCTAATAATTCTACTCCTGGTAATCTACCCTAAGAAATATTTGAAATTCTAAAAAATACTTACACACAAGGTATTTTTAATAATTTATGTAAAATGTGGGAAACTAGGAAAAGTCTAATATCCTGCAAAAGAGAAATTGCTAATTAAATTATGACATGTGTGCAATGTAATACTGTATACTTATTTAAAAATGATGTTTACACAGAGTTGGAAATGCCATGGGAAAAACATTATAATACAATACTAATCAAGGCATAAGAAGAGAAGTAGAATACAAATTATAGTATAAAGCATGGGCTATTGTTCTTCATCTTTTGTTTAAGGTCAGCTGTACACTGTAACCTCAGTCATATGAATTACTTCATAGAACAATGGTTGAAATTAAATAAAAAATACTATGATCTCACATTTGTTTTTGTTCATGTATGTATACATATTCAATAAAAGAAAACACTGACCTGGCCGGATCACTCAGTTGGTCAGAGAGTTGTCCCAATACACCAAGGCTGCAAGTTTGATTCTTGGTCAGGGCACATACAAGAAGTAACAAATGAATGCACAAACAAGTGGAACAACTAATCTCTCTCTCTTCCCTGCCCCGTCCCCATTCCTCCCTCCCTCCCTCTCCCCCTTTCCCTTCCTAAGAAAGAAAGAAAGAAAGAAAGAAAGAAAGAAAGAAAGAAAGAAAGAAAGAAATAGAAACACTGAAGTTACCCACACCAAACTATTGACAGTGACTACCTATGAATGTAGAAATAATAAATGTTTTACTTAAATTCTCTATGTATTACTTTTATAATCAGGAAAAAATCAGCAATGTTTTTAATGTATGGAAAATAAAACGACTAGGAGCAAATACACAAAAATATTAACAGTAGTTGTTTATAAGAGTTGAGATTTGAGAGAAATCTTTTCCTTTCTACTTTTCTGAATTTTCCAACATCTGTATGTTGCTTTAACATTCAAAAATGAATAAATTTTGTTTCTAAAAATATGTGAGTAATACAGTTCTGTAACCCTAGATGACAAAACCATCCCTGCCACAGCAGTGCCCAGAACCCTGTCTGTTTGCATTAGTTGAGGGTGATAATGCCTCAAGTTCAATAACTGGCTGAAGTAAGCATCTGCGTGGAATTATTAAGTGGCTCTCTTAGCCCTGGCTTCTCATCCTGGCTCAGTGCCTCACTTTGCTGGGAAAGCCAAGGACTCAAAGGGATGCTGGATGATTACAAAGGGCCAGAGCTGCAGGGGCCAGTGCAAGACACATTTATAACTGTCATTTTGGTTGATTGAAAGGGAAAATAACACAATACCATCTTGGTAATTTGATACTTTATCCGGCATGTTGACAACTTCAAATGTACCTGACATTGAGCTTATCAGAATAACATGGTTTTCTAAAATACAGGCTTTGACATCTGGAGGACTCAGTCCCAGCCCTGACTCTGCCCCCTGCCAGCTGTGTGACCCTGTGTGATATGTCACAATCTCTCTAAGTCTCACTTTCTTCATTTTTAAAATTCAAATCACACTACTTAGACCAGAGGACTATCAAGATCATTAAGAGAGATAATACCCCACAGCACATAAAAGAACTCAATACAGGTATACTAGATATTATCATGTTATTATTATTATATCACATTGGCCAATGTTTTGAGTTTTGACCATTTGGAAATAACCTAGTTGAAGTCTCAAAACCATAAACAGAAACCTATTGGAACGACATTGAGTAGAGAAATCAAACTCATCATACGTTGCTGATAGAGATGCATAATGGTGCAGCCTCTTGGAAGACAGTCTGGCAGATTCGCAGAGGGGTAACACAGCTACCATGTGATCCAGCAGTTTCACTCCCGCATATATATCCAAGAGAAATGAAAAATACATCCACCCAAAAACCTGTGCACGGATGTGCATAGCAGACTTATTCACAACAGCCAAAAAAGTAGGAATAACGCAAATGTCTGTTAACTAATGAGTGAATAAATGACATGTGGCAAACCTTACAAAGGAATATTACTTGCTAATAAAAAGAAATGAAGTACTGATACATGCTACAAAATGAATAATCTTGAAAACATTGTAAGTGAAAGTTGCCCGCCATAATAGAT